ATGGATTACAAATGGCTGTCTGGTTGAAACGACGCGTGTGACGGGGGCGTGGGGGCATCGACTTTTTTGGGGGCAAAATGAATGTACGTAGCTGAAAATAGACACCAACATCGGTAGCCTACAAGGTACTTGTTAAGCTTAAGTTTCAGTATTGATATTAGCTAGTCATCTTTTAGCTAACTTTACCTGCATCCAACAGCTTTACTCAACTCAGTCGGTTAGTTTGGGGGAAAACTGTGAAAAGTTCTTTGCGTTTTGCTGGTTTGCTGCCGTGATTCTAACACAAACCTGCGTAGCTCTGCACAGCAGCAGCAGGTCTCCTTCACAGGTGTAAACCCAGCGCGAGCGTCGTAGCGCTCATGTTGCGTTTAAAGGCGGCTCGGAAAAACAGGTTACCACATGTTAACAACGGATTAAAAAGTTTTAACTGCTGATAAAAGTGACATGACACAGATATGGGAAGTGTGGAAGCCCCTACTGTATCAAATTGACATAGGAATAACAGAGAGTTGGCCATTCTAAGGTAAAAACCCAGCGCATACAGCATTCGTTTTTTTTTTTTTTTTTTTTTTTTTTCATCCAGACGGCTTCCTGCGCCCCCTAGGGGGTGCGCCCCACAGTTTGGGAACCTCTGATTTAATGGAAGTGAAGAGTTTTCTAAATCAGTTGGTGTCGTACAACACAGTTTTATGAACTTATTTTAAAGTCTCAAAGTAATGTTTTCATTATGTTTGAAAATGCTTCTAGTCATCAGATTTCTTCAACACTTTGCTAACCTACCTTTAGTTTGCATTATTCATTATTCTCCTGGATTGGGAGCTGACAGTGGTATTTATTCAACACCACAACTTGGAGTCCATGCTCGGCTGTAATTATTGTTTTACTCGACTGGGACCCAAAGCAGTTTAGCCCACAAACTCTTTGTTTAATTGCTACGTGGTTTTCAGCTCAGTTTGTCACAGTCCAAAAGCGCATGTGTTAAACTCGGTGCCTGGAATTAATGTGGCGCTACTTTATGTTAAACTGTTCATTTACAAGTTTCTTCACAGTCCGCCCACAAGCTTTCCAGAAGATGTTGAGCCACGGTAACTATAGGTCATTGACTGAGAGTAACCTCGCTGCACATAGCTGCTGGCGGCAAGTTATTTGACTAGCTCACAAACCGCATTGTTGGGAGTCCAACCAGTGAGGTCGGAGACTCTAATGCCGATTGGCTGAATGTAGAGCAGTCTCTAAAGCTGCGGTGTTGAGTTTCAGTTTGTGGGGATGTTTTGTTCCTCTGCGTTAAACTGACTTTTTCAGTGCGAGACATGGTAGGCGCAGAAAATAAGATGACTTTTATGGACTGGAACAGAGTTTTTAGGAACATTAAAGTAAAAATTATTTTAGTAAAAGTTTGTAAACTTGCACATATCTTTTGCAGTTTTACTGCTTTTAAAAAAGATTACTAAAATTATAGTTTAGTAAGCAATCTGCTGCTTGCGTACAGAGGAACATATTTTGTTGGGCGACGTCGCAGCCCAAAAGAACATGCGTTAAACTTGGTGCCTGGAATTAATGTGGTGCTACTTGTACTGGTTTTGACACAAGCCAAAGTTTAGGTGTTCGGAACGCTCAAAACATTAAAGCATCTAAACTGTTGCATAGCTTTTTGTAGTTTTTAACAACCTCAAGTGTAATTCTGGCAAATGATTAATCCTCTTAAAACTTTACCTTTGTATTATCTCTTTAAAGGATAGAACGTTGTGCTGTAAACAGTATAACACAGTTGAAGTAGGCCAAGAGACTTTGGTCTCTACAGACTTCCTGGTATTCAGTCTGTTGTGTTGCAGGCTGCATGAAGAATAAAGGCAATGTCTCTGTTAGAAGTACACGTGTGCATGTTTTTGTCTGAACATTGCTGCTTTATGGACTGAGCCACTAAGAGAAGGAACTTGGTTGCTGATAAACTCAAATTTGCATACATGTTTAGTGGATGAGTCACTCATAATTTACAGGTGTTTTTTTTTTAACCTAATTGGATTGAATGTGGTTGGAAAACAATTTTACACACATGCATCCTCAAAATATAAAGGCTAGTGGCACAGAAATGTGTCAGTCTTGTCTGGACCACATGTTGAAATTGACCATCAGCATGTGTTGGAGTAGTAGACAGTGGACACTTCTTCAGTGCTCTTGTGTGCGACTGACCCCGACAGGTGCTGAGGCAGCCTGGTTCTGGCACAAGAAGTGCAGAACCAGGTTGTCAGCTTAATGGAAGTCAATGCGATTTAACTGGAGAAATTATGTAGCTATAACTCAACAGAACAAGCACCCATGGTATCCTAGTTCTTTTTATTTATTTTATTTATTTTATCCTTTCCTTTGCATTTATTTTCATGCTTATAAATCATAAAATATTTATGTTATCTATTCCAGGTGTATTTGGGATCAACACAATGTTTTCGTAACACTCATGGGGAGTTTTGATGACGTGAAAAGCCAGTGATTTCTTAAAGATGGCTCACTGTCTGTGGGTTAAGTTTCCTTGAATGTGTCCTGTGCTCTGCTTCCTTCATATCACATCTTGTTTTTTTTGTTTTTTCATAGAAGCTAAACAGGAACAGCTATCAGTAGTAATCTCTGCAGCAGGGCATGTCGGCCTGCAGTGCGACCTAGAGTTGTTAAGTTATTTGCAATAAAAACAAGACCTTCACAATGTTGTGAGCCATGGGCCCAACAGTCCATTTAAATGGGGACCTTTAATGAAGCAGAAGTTAAACAGTAAGCATGGCTAATTGACTGCTTATCAGATAACAAACCTGTTCTCGCATAGTCTCCTGAAACGAAACCCCGTTGTTCCACGACCAGTAGTAACCTTGCCAATCCCTGTGTGAACTAGAGTAACCTCAGCGACTTGCCCTGTAGTTACCTTTCTTTACCAGCAACCTGTTGTAAACTCCCAGTCAGGTTGGCCCTATTGTTTGCATCAGGCAGGTATCTCATGAGCGGCGCTCCATCACATGATGCCTGCTGGGCTTGATACAATGGAGTCCAGTATTTGTGTGTTGGAGGGAATGGGATGTTTAACACCATATCAAAGCCCTGTTTGTTATGCCTGAGGCTAGTCAGCCGTGGGGGCTCGGTTGTTGCAGTCTGGCTCTAGCACGGTTTGGTGTGTGCCGACATTGTTTGTGTGCCTCTCTGCTGCTGTTGATACTGCTTGGAAGTGCTGCGTGTTGGTTGAGGTGTGTCTTTGTCGCAACGTCAAACTGTTTACACGTTACCTGTGTTTTGTCACGAGGTGTGGGCTTGCTATAATCTTGTAAGATGGTAAAGGAAATGGTAAAATAATTCTTCCTGTGAGATTCCCATTTTCTGAATCAACAATTCAATGTGGGAATTGTTGGTTTTCTACTTCCTTTAAAAATCTTCAGGCACAGCATGACCTTATTTGTACAAATGAAAATGTTACCAAGCACATCATGCTTCAAAGAGACGTGCAGCCTGAAGGAGGGGGGCCATCTCTTTTAGCTGAAAAATAAAGCAGTTATTTTTCAGTAGACTGTCTACTGCAACAAGATGTAACAAGAAAATATTTAGCAATGTGACACATGGGTTAAGTTTTTAACGTTGAAGCCAGGTTGAGACAGGTCTATGATCCTCTTTAGGTCACTGTGACATAGTTTATCTGATTGATGGATGTGAGGCTACTTGAGGTCAGTTTTCCTCATGTTGTGAGGAGTGAGTCAGTCAGGGTGTTGCTCTCGTTCACGTAATGCCTCCTGCAGACTGACGGAGTACTTCACATCTTGTGGTTGAAAACAATGGAAGGGCCCACTGTTTTCTCAAAAGGGGGCTGTTTTTCCATCACCACTCCAGAACTTGCTGTTCTCAAGAGTTCTCAGCCCAAACTGTACCAGCTGTTCTGACTGCCAGTGATCTCAAACTGTGAATAAAAGAAACGTATATTTTTTACATGTTGTTTATAGCAGAATGAGACTAGGCTGTATCCGTTGCTTAATGCACAGGTACATAACCAAAAAGTAATGTAAAATTGCTTCAGTGTAGTTTCTATAAATTTTGATTTGTGGCTTGCAGCTAAAGATTCAGTTCATCATTGAGGTTCGCTGCTTACACAAACATATGGAAGATTTCTCTGTGCCAAACTGAGTTAACGCTGTAATTCATGAAAGTGGAACCTGCCCAAATATTGGCAGCATGCACTGTAGACTTCTGTATTTCATTAGCTGTAAGTTGCAATTTTTAACATTAACAAAAATACATATGTGAAAGATTTCAGTGTGAAATAAGTCACCATGAGGAGAGGGTGGGTGGTGTTGCAGTATTTTAACAGTCTTGTTATCCCTTCCCTCAAATGTTCAACTTGCGTTCCATAACGGTTCAGCCAGAGCGGCCGCACGATCCAAAAATGCCATTTTAAAGAAGTGAAACTAGGGAAAGTCATGGCATGCCATGCTGTGGAGTATTTGTGGAAGCAGGTTGTGAAGTGAAACTGAACCATTAATTGTGTAGAGCTATAAATGTCAAATTATGACACAAGAGTAGCACATGGATAACATGCAAGCTCATATTCTCCATGATTGTGTTCTCCCTCAGACATCTATTCTTCATGCACGTGAAGGAAGACCTCCACAACGGACACCTTCGCATGTGCTCCGAGCAGGCGGAGGAGCTAAGCGCTCTGCTGGCGCAAGCAGAGTTTGGGGACTACAACCAAAACACGGCCCAGTACTGGTATTCAGAGCTGTGTGGAGAGGAGCCCGACACCGCCACCAACAACAGGTACAACACACTCAACGTTGTCTGAGAAACTTAATGCAATCCAATTCTAAATTCATGAAGACCTGCTGAAATCTAGGTGGCAAAAGCAATATACTATTACGGCAATATAGCCAATAATATGAGCTGAGTTAAGGATCTTTACTCCTTTTTTGTAAAATGCAAATGATCACAACCATGAAAAGATATTTGGGAGAAATGCATCTGCCTCTTACTGCATCAACGCTTAGTCTGTCAAAGGTTGGATTCAAACGGTGAATGAATTGTGTAATTTCGCGATAGGAAAAGCAGATATCTCGAGGTGATGATGATAAACACTCAGCCACATGGTCTCTATAAAAAAAGCAGTCAGAGCTTTGAACAAACACAGCAGCTGACAAGAGATCAGATGACGTTTATTTGCAGACTACCCCTGGCAAATCTTTCTACTGCACATTTTCTCCATTAAACTGGTGTGACTGTAATACTGTTTTTTTTTAACTTGGTGAAAAGGGAATTCATGTTTTCTATCAGAAACGAGTTGTTGAACAAGAGTCAAATGTACTTCCCTCAGCAGTTGTCCCTCCAACTACATCCATTTTGTTTTTGCAGACTACAGTATCTCTTTTGTATTTGCAGCTTTTGAATCAACTGACACTGAACATTGTTCTGCTTTACTGCTCAATTTATACTGACTTTTGTATGCAGACTTCATAGCATTCATCTCAAGCACAAGCCACTGAACTAACAGAATAGTTGTTTTAAATACTGATACTCCACCAATTGGTCAAAGCTGCTTCATTAATGTCCAACTCCAAAGGATTCACAGAATGAAAAACACTTAACCACAGGCCTGCAGAAAATTCATCCATTAGATGTTCTGATTTTTAGCAAAGCACTAATAAGTCATAATTCCAGTAAATTTTAACTTACTTTGCCTCTATAATGCGATGGACTTGAGCAAACACAAAATTTAGAAGAATACAGACTATGAAGAACCTAAAACCTTAGTAAGTTAATATTGGCTCAATAAGTTTAAATATTTACTGCAGTCAGTTGCTTAATAAAAACATTTGCGTGCTTTGAACGCTCATCGGACTCGTACATTCATCAGGCTAGTCTTGTTTTACCTGTTTGTGTAGTTAAAGTACACCCAACTTTTTTCTCACCGCTCTGCACCTTATTTCCACTGCAGCATCATCTCCAGACACAAAGCTTTGGAGGGTTTAAGCCAGGCCTCAGTGGAGTACCAGGCCTTGCAGCTCATTTCTGCTCTGGAGCATTACGGCGTGGAGTGGCACTGGGCACGTGATGCAAACGGTCAGCGGATGGCTATTGGAGTGGGGCCAGAGGGGATCGCCATCTGTAAGGAGGATTTCACCTTAGTTAACAGGTATGTTCTGCCATTGGATTTACCTTCTTAATGTCCAACTTTTTTTTTTAATATAAATGTCACTTCTAACATTGCCTACTTTAATAATTTCTTACATTCTTGTCTTAGAGTAAGCTACCCCATCATCCAGATCGCCACTCAGTCGGGGAAGAGTGTCTACTTGACCGTAACGAAGGACACGAATGACAGCGTGGTTCTTTTATTCAAACTGATCAGTAACCGGGCAGCGAGCGGTCTGTACCGAGCCATCACAGAGACGCATGCCTTCTACAGGTGAGAGGAGCTCAACCGTTGACTATCGAACCCCAGTTTGTGCTGTAAAGTCATAGCGACAATAAGTTTGATACATGTATTGTCCCAAAATCAGTTTTCCTCATGAAAGATGAGCCCAGACAAACTAGATTTGAGTTGTGATGGTCAAAAACTCTTTCCAGAAAACATTAATCAATGTTTTGTTTTATTTTTCAGGTGTGATACAGTTGCCAATGCCGTGATGATGCAGTATAGCAGAGACTTTAAGGGTCACTTGGCTTCCCTATTCCTCAACGAAAACATCAACGTGGGCAAGAAGTACGTCTTTGACATCAGACGGACCTCCAAGGAAGTGTACGACCACGCTCGCCGTGCTCTGTACAACGCCGGCGTTGCGGACTTGGTGTCTCGCTCCGAGAGTGGAGAGCGCTCCTCTCCCTCTCACTCCCCAAGCCGGGACGACCAGCGGGACAAGGGACTGGACTGCAGCAGTTGCGAGCAGAGCCGGGCGCTGCAGGAGCGACTGCAGAAACTCAAAGAAGCTCTGCTGTGCATGTTGTGCTGCGAGGAGGAGATTGACGCGGCGTTCTGTCCCTGCGGTCACATGGTGTGCTGCCAGAACTGCGCAAATCAGCTGCAGGTGAGACTGCTCTCCACGCTTTGAGAAACTGTTTTTAAACTTCACGTAGTCATTTGTATGTTTACACTTGCATGCTTTTGAATTTAAAAGCTATGCTCAGCTTGTTTTAGCATAATTCAAGTCATATTCCTTATGTGATTTTTACAATTTCCCTAAAAGAATCTAATTATGCTTCAGCTCCCTGGTCTTATCCTTTTATGGTGCCTTTAACAACATCCAGAGGCTTGCTTAAACTCTGACGACCTGATTGTCCCCTCTTTTAATCAGCTAAAAGTGCTCGTCTTTGTGAAGGCAGGTTTTGCGTGAGCGTGTGTGAGAGAGTTTGTCTTATAAAGGGATTACAGCAGTCAGGCAAATCTCTTCACCATCAGTGGAGCTGGGAAATGTCACCCAGCTACTGAAGGGGTGAATGAGTTAGTCACAGGAAGAAGCTTTAATTTAAAAAAATATTTCTATATTTACCTATTCTAATATTTGAACCTGAGCAGTTTGTTTAGCCTTGCTGTAATACTTTAACCACTTATCCTGCCATTACAGCTAAAAATCATTTTGAGGTGTTCATCAGCTTTGCATATCTAGATTCAGAAAATGTTGTCTGTTCTCTGCAAAGAGGCACTTCAGCCAGACTGGAGAGCATCGCTACACTGCGATTTCAGTCTTGCTATAGATTCTCAACTAAATTAAATCTGAAATTCGACTGAGCCGTTTAGATGCATGAATATTCTTTGATCTTAACCTGGTGTCGGCTGTAATCCTCAACACGATGTCCTGCATATTTTAATGTTCCCTTGATTCTTTCTTCCTTTATGCCAAATACGAGTCCTGCTCAGAACAGCTACATTAAACGAGATTAAATTACATCCAGATTGACTTGACTGACTTCTGAAGTCAGACTGCATTAAAGTTTGTGATTGAAATGTGAAGGATACGAATGCTTCTGTAAGCCACTGTAACTGGATGACTGGGGCTGTTACTCAAAAGCTGTTCTGTCTTTTCCCTCAGCTGTGTCCCGTGTGCCGGTCAGATGTGGAGCACGTGCAGCACGTCTACCTGCCCACCTGCACCAGCCTCCTCAGCCTGACGCTGAATGACAACCACCAGCACCGCAGCAGCATTCCCACTCCCATCCACAGAGACACAGACTCTCCTCACAGCTGCTCCACCAAGGAGTACGAACACAAGCTCTACCATACATAAAGACTGTATAAACCCACCAAAACTCCACTATGAACACTTTAAAACCCCACCAGCAGAGTTTCACTAAGAAGAAACATTTCAGATGATGCGATACTCCACACCTTTGGATTACTCCTAGCTTTTTCTTTTTCTTTCTTTTTTGCTGTTTCACTCTGTGAAACACCATTTACACACCATAGATTTTTTTTATGACATTTTGGTTTTATTAAATTATGGGATCAGTTGACCTGATGCTGAAATATAATCTTTGAATATGTACATTTGGTTGCTTTCTACTGCATTTCTTTGCTCATGGCTCCATAAGGCAATGATTGTTTAGAGGAGCTAACCATGGTGGAATTTATTTGTAAGTTATATTTTTACATTTGATATTTTAAAACTCTTGTTTTACTTCATGAATTGAATAGTAGGGTTCAGTAGAGCATATTTCAGTTTGTCTTTATTTCTCATGTCCTGTTTTATTTCCCATGCCAATGAGAGGCGCATTTAGAGACTAAGCAGTCCTGCTGCCAAATATAGCTCTGGATACTAATTGGATAAAAGAGGCAGTAAGACTTGTCCTCGTACGCTTGTCCTTGCTCGCCAACACTCCCTAAACACTCCCATTTAACTCCAAAACTGGTCTTAATTATAGAGTAAAACTTTAAAGCCGGTTCTTACAGAATCTAATGTTGGCACAAAGCAGGAACTGCTTCCTCTTACTGGCCTCTGCTATAAATTTCTGCTCTGGGTTTTATTTGTTCTCTTGGACATTTTTAAAGGGTACTAGGAGATGTATGTGCAATACTTGCTTGCTTTTTGCCAAGCTTTTCATTCTCAGTTTTTTTTTTCTTCTGTTTTTATTTAAATTCAAAGACTATTTAAAACAAAAGGCTTTGCCACTTTACTAAAGTTTTGTTGTTGGGGAGGTTTGTCCCTAATGTAGCAGCAACCTTTTAATACATGTATTTCTTAAAGGAAAACTCGGTTCTTTTTAATGCTGACAAAGTTGAGCTCAGTTATTTGCAGGGGAAGGACTTTTTTATTTTTTATTTTTTTCCTTGCGTTTAGAGATTTGTTTCTGTTTTCTGAAGCAAATACCACGGTTCTGTGAATTAACTCTTAATGTGAAAGGCTTTTTACATTATGTTGCTGTTAACTGAAAGTATTAATAAAATTCTTTTTAAAAAAAACTTATTTGTATCAAGGTTGGTCATTTTATGCAGGGGAGGATCTGAAGTTTTTTTTGGGGGGGGGGGTGAAGGATCTGTGTTGATCTCTAAAAATGCTTTTGTAACTGAACTTAGTATAACTAATTATGAAGACTTGTACATGTGACTTTTCTCCTTGTTTTTTGATATCATTTACAGAATAATATGCAAATATTGACTCAAATGCTCTACCATCTGGTTTGTAACAAATGCTTCTTTAAGAACATCATTCTCCACCCATATTCCTCTTAATTGGCCATCATTATACACTTGCCTAAAAGTTCTATTGCTCATTTTAATATACAAAACTCTCCTTGGTCTGTTCACACCCTATAGCAACTGTTTGACACATCTTTCATTAGCAAAATCCCAGCAACCTCATTGGGTTTAGCACGATTCATAATTTCCATTATGAATCATTTTGACCTTCTTTTTTTGACTACCAACATCTCAGCAATTGCAGTTCCCTGGTTTCAACCAATTTTGGCTTTTTTTTTTTTTTTTTTAATTATCAAAAAAAAAGAACACTAAGCTGGATATCTCATTTTTTCCATTCTTTGTCAGCACCACATGTACATTGTGCAACATATGGCCATTTGTCACTTTAGGCTGCTGAAGAAATCTGATCACCGGTCCAGAAAGAGCTCTGTGTTTAGGATTGACAGCCGTAAGCAGACTGTGACGTGAATCGGTGGAAGAGTCGAGTATTGATTCGTCTTTTTCTCAGTTTGCACCCTCTCTGTCCATGACCTTCTGTGTGGGCGTACCTCTTTTCATTCCCCTCTTACTCTTTTCAGAGATCATTGGTATTAAGCAAAATCCATAGACACTAATAATAGCTGCGAGGGTTAGATTTATTAAAAAGAGCCGTGCGATTTCTAATTAGTCATGCAGAATTAGAACGGCCACATCTTATCAGGCTATATGAAAACAGAACGGGTCGGGTAGATGTTCTGTAAAGGCCTCAGAGGTTTGCTAGAGAACATTAATAAGCAAGCAGCATCACGGAGACCAAAGGGCACAAAGCTGGGGATAAAGCTGTGAAGTTTAAATCAGAACGTCCTGACCTAAATCTAACAAAAATGTTGGACAAAACTGGAAAACTGATGATCACTGGTTTTCTCCATTCAATCTCACTGAGATTTGCAAAGTAAGATCTGCAATGTCTTATGTGTTTATTTGAAACACGTGTCATTCCCCTTCCAGTTTAAAATGATGCAGTGTTTTTGTTGCTCTGCCATATACAATCTCAGCAAAATACATTAAAATTGAAACATGTCGAGGGTGCAGGGGTAAAGACAAGCCAGTATGGAGGCCCTAGTGCTCGATGTCACTGTTAGAGATTTGAGTCGCAGCCTGATGACCTTTAACCCATCTCTTTCCCCTCTCTCATGACCCGCCTTCCTGTCTAACCACTCTCAAATAAAGTCCACTAGAGCTAAATAAAAATTGTAAAATGTAGTTTCCAATAAGTCCAAGGATGTGAAAACCTTTGAAGGGCACTGTGTGAACAGCTTTACAAAAATGTAAGCTTTCCGTGCTTTTTGAAAAGCCTTAAGTCTCAAACGATTTCTGCTTTGATTGAAATAGCTTTTGTTCTAGACAGGAAACTTTGAAAACCTGAATTGTCTTAATGTGTAGCTTCTCAACAGCAAAACTTGACCCTACATCAGTGGACAGGACCGAACTACGATTTATTGCCCCACTCTGACCCACCCCACTGACACGTAGCTTCTAAACTAATTTGAGTAATAGGAGGGAAGACCTCAGGGAAAAGCTCTTAGAGGAAAACACATAAAAATGATGGTGTAGCAGAAATGAGAGATGGATTGCATCCTCCACATACAGTTTTAAGACGATGAAAATTCCTATAACAATGAGAATTTCCAACCAGTGACATGAAGCTCACAAAATGAAATAAGAAAGCCTCTTTGATTTACAGAAGCTAAATTTATGCATTTATTTCTATAGTGATACATTTCAAGTATTAACAAATGCTGCACATTTACACGCTAGGATCCTTTGCAATACCCCGGTAACCGAAATTTGATTCCATTAAGCAATGATGGATTAAAAAAATTGTTGGATTCAGATCCAACAATAAAAAAAACAACAACTTTATAACAAAACAAAATCATCAAATGACATTAAGATAAACTGGTAGTCATTCATGACAACACAGGTGGCCCTATTAAAGAAGCTCATTTAGTTTTATTATAAAATGATGTGAGTCAGTTCAGTTTTAGTTTGACATGAAGGAACTTCAGATTATCTTGAGTAAAAATGTAATTCCATGGAAACTCAGTTGTCTCTATATTTAAAATTTGGATGCAAAGTGATCTCTGTTTCCAAAAAAAAATAAAAAATAGTATGGATAGGTTTCAGTCTGAATTTTTATGATCATTAAATATAATTTCTTGTTCTTCAGAACTTTCTGAATAAGATTAAAGTTGAGGGTGTCTTAAATCTTCCTGTGTTTTTCACACAGGAAGAAGCACTGAGAGGATATAACCTAAAGCTGGCAGCAGACTATGACGCTGACAAAGAAAAAGCTTTTCTTTAAACAAATGTTCTGCTGGGAACATTTCAGTTATTAAACTAAATGTCATAACAGATCTATATTTGATGGTTTGTACCTTTTGTGGCTAGTTTCACATGTTTCCTTTGAGTCCATTAGCAGAGACACTTTCCTCTTACTGTTTACCAGCTTTTGCTGTTAAATAATTTGCGTCTGCTTGTCAGAATCCAGTCACTGAAAGTGAAAGGAATTTTTGTGGTTGTGCGCAATTGTTAATTACAAAAAACATCTCGGGAAGCGTCGTGTTTTCTAAGTTCCACCATTTTGACAGGATATTTAAAAAGCCAAAGCTGCAAGACTTGAACATTTTTACTTTGTTGTTACGTGGAGCTCACTAAAACTCTGAAGTATGTTTGAAACACAAAGGGGGGCGGGGGGGGAAACCATGTAAAAATATTCTTAAATCATTGACAGTCGATTTTACCTCAGAATGTATTTTACACCGTGTTAAACTTTAATCTAGGCCTCTTAACCTCACAACATTACCTTCCGAATGAATTATCCGGATCGTAAACCTGACGGATAAGGAACATTCCTCGCCCTCTTCATTTGAGCCACTTCAAGAGAAAGCAAATCAAATTTTTAAGTCTTTATCATTTTAAGTCGTGCCAAGAAAAAGAACATCAAAGATACTCGCCCTCCCACTGCCATGTGGTTTTCCCATCTGCTGGTCCCAGTGACACAGACCAGGGACACGCGCCTTCTCCGAATGTCTCAGAAATAAATGTCATCGGTGCAATAGGCCCCACTTCCAAACAGCATTGTCAGCTGGTAGATGAACATGGGATGAAACGAGGTGAGACGGCTCACTCTGGCTCTGGGAGTGTTGATGAGTGTACGCATCTGCCTTCTCGGGAGTTTATGGACAGCTGTAGGAACACAGAGACTGGAAGTAAGAGCAAAACCAGCGCAACGTCATGCGAATATGCAATTGAGATATGCTGCAAAAACACAAAATACATTTTTCCTCACTGTCTGACATGAACTAAATGTTTGGTTAATGTCTGAATAATGTAATCAGGGGATTTTCTTTTTAAATCAGAAGATTGGATGCATTTGTAATACATCTTTAGACATTTTTGGAAAATTCAGATGATAGTTGTACACTTCTGATAGGTGAAGACAAAACAACAGATAACAATAAACCAAGATATCCAGACATCTGCTTTCATCACTGGTTGAAATGTTCAGATATTTGAAGGTGCCAGAGTTATCAGACGAACAATTATAAACAACTATACAAAACATGGGGATGTCTGTCCTGAGAGAGGCAGGTTCTTAGTTCAGGATATAAGGATGTCATGGTGTGAAATGTGCAAATCACCCCCTGGAAAAAAAAACAAAAAAACTTGCCAAAATGCTGATGAAGCTGGTTGGAAACTGCTCATATCCGCAGTGATAAACGTCCTGGACTCACATGGGTGAAAGGCTGCTTAGTCAGGATGAAGCCATCCAAAACCAACCAACCAAAAAAAACAAAAAGTTGTCTGTTTTATTATCTTTTTTCTGACTTTTAACAATTATTAAAAAAAAAAGTAATCTTAATTAACCTAAAACAGGAAAAAGTTAGTCTGATTTGAGATCAAACAGCAAGGAAATAAAATAAAAGTTGCACGTCTGTTTTACCATGTAAACGTAAGGTTTCAACTGCATAATATTTAATAAACGTTTACATATCGTGGTTTTGAGAAGATTATCTGTGGCTAAGTAAATTAAACAACAGGGGAAAAGGATATGAAAAATATTTGCTAAGAGTTTCGAGGTAAGAATGTGTTTTTTTTTTGTTTTTGTCCCTGCCCAGCTCCCTAGATAAGTCCGTCACATGATGTTAAGTAAGGTGTTTTTTCCACATCCACAGACTGATTACGTGGCAGTTTTTCTCCATTAAATAAAAACCTGCATTAGTTAAACATTAGTGAAAACTCTAACAGTGACCCGTTTCATGGACGCAATAAAACATGCATGCACACAGCCTGTGGAAACGTCTCCTCGCTCCACTGTCACCCATTTCCTCCATCACCGAAGCACCGGAGACTCCAACAACAACCTGGCACAGAATACATGCAGTACGGAGCCGCCGTGCTCTTATCCTATCAGCTTTGTTGGCAGCCAAGGGTCTAAAGGGTCAGCATGTTATCAGAGCAGCATGGAGTGGCATGCATGAGTCTGAGGAGCAGTGGTTTGTTAACGCTGGAACAGCCTTATCTCGCATCTGTAGACTATTCAAATCCTATCAGTTCCACAGAGATAAGGCTCGATTAGATGTCTGAGTGTCCGAATGCGACCAGAATTTTATGCGCTCATATGCATCAGCCACAACCAAAGAGGTTCACAGCAGTTAAAAGAAAATTAGTTTCTAAATTCATTTTGCAGGTCAAAAATGATTTACAGCAATACGAAACAT